CATTTGCCTCGATGTCATGGAGTAAACACTCTGAACCAAAACAACAGTTCGAGGAACTGGAGCACTGGGAGCTGTTCCACTACTGCAGCACAGTGAACTCAGACTCAACTTCAAATCCTGGTTTTCACCACTTTCTCACAACTAAAACTGCAGAACATTCTTGAATGTCAGGCCACCAGGTTCTAACCCAGACATTAGGTCCAGTTGCCGCGTTTGTCAAACTAGGCTCAGGCTGAAGGACAAACTGCTGCACAGACATGAATGTTGATGCACCGCTGGTTCAGAGCTGCTGGTACAAACAAATGTAGACGGTAACAGACCACGAGGTGTTAGAACAGTGAGTGGGCGGAGCACATGAGGGCAGTGACCCCTGGAAGACAGTGGTGTCCAGTCGGCCACTGTCCCACAGGAGACACTGAAACCACGGTGTTAGTCAGAAATCTATCAGGGAACACAGAGTCAGCTCTTCACATAGGCAGTCGCCTAGGGCGCCATCTGTTGGAGAGCGTGATTTGGCAATCCCCAAGGGGGAAAAGAAATTATAACAGGGGAGCCGAGGACTCCAAAATGGCCAGAGCTGACTCTGGGTAAACATTACACTGCAGACCTACTCACTAACATCGATCAACACAACAACACATCAACACAAACACTCACCAACACGACACAAAGACAGGAAACATGGGAATTTACTAAGTCACTGTGGATCAATTCACCATTTATTCAGAGGAATTCTACCCTCATACAAAAACTTAAAGGACACTAAGTATGTCAGGGCAGTTAGCTACTCGCCAAGTTGACTTTAAGGGGACCGGTCACGTGTTGACATTCTGTGAAGACCATGGTCAAATGGAGGAGCCAAGAGGGGAGGGGTTTAAAAAAAAGATAGAAAAACAAAAGAAACAGAAAAAGATGTTATTAACATAAAAAAAACTGAACCTGGGTGAATATTTAGAAAATGTGGAAAAGGGAAGACAGGAGACAGACTAGTGAGACATTATATACAGTATACTACTGTATCTGGTCAGAGGAGTACACAGTATATAATCAGAATAAAGTAATTCAGCTATCGATGCTAACAGCTAATGAACACTACAGGAAGTTCAGACACGGTTTGACTGAAACCAGGAACAATGTTGCACTGTGGGAAACTCAACAGGGCTTTGGTTTATTAGACTGAAGACGATGTACATGACAAGACAGGACAGAAGACAGGAAGAGACATCAGGACAGGACAAGGACCAAAGACAAATGACACAACAGAGAAGACATCACAACGCACAGTGAGACATGACACCAGGTAGGACAAAGAAATGAGAGAGACAGGAAAAGACAACACTTTGAAAGTCTAGTTTTTATCATGCTGTGTATATGTGGCTTACTGCATCTTTTTATACTCTTTGGACTAACAGAAACACGTTCAATAAATACAAGGTAATAAAGGTCACCAGTGAGAGAAAAACCAGGAACAAGTCTCTTAGGGGACATTTGAAGTTATTCACAGTCAGACAGTCTCTGATCCACAGATCCTAATGTGGACTTCTGAAAACATACTGTATATGAAGATGTACCTGTGTCAGTGAACTGGTCTGAAAGGTCCTCAAAGACTAGTAACTTGGTCACTAGTTATTATCCCTTCTAGGAATATTTAACCAAAATCTTGGTTCTCCAGACTATGCCACATCGACTTGTCTCTGGTTTTTCTGGTGGCTTAAAAAATAACTGTAAAGAATTCACACACAGTGTTTCTCCCAGTGCAACAACATCATCCAGTAAAGAAGGACTGGAGGAGGAGGAGGAGGAGGAGGAGTCAGGTCTACACCAGGTTTTCTACCATAAGACCCTCTGAGACAGAACAATCACCGTGACCCGTGGGTGCTAAGAGTAGCAAGGACAGAGTTAAAGTAGAAGGTCTTAAAGGAATAGTTCAGCCTTTTGAGGTCTGTTTGTTCAGTGTGAAGGTCGAGGAAAATGTTTTCACGCTGAAAAGTCCATGTTGGGAGCTCCTCACTCTTCCACACCAAACTCCATTGAATACTTACTACTGACACTTTGTGTCACAGACATAAATACAACTGTGCTGCTTATACTTTGTGACACTTTGTGTCACAGACATAAATACAAACACATAAGTCACCAAATAACTCATTTTTATTTAATGATGGCGACAGAGGAGGACCATAAAACTAAAATGACTGGTTTTATCAATGGAGTTTGGTTGAAGAGAGACAAAGACACAATAATGTCTGGAGCTGGTTCCTGAGCCCAGCAAAGATCATTCATCAGTACCTCAAAGTCTGAACAGTCCTTATAAGGTTAACAACAAACTGTTAGCTAACACCCGTTCTCTCACACACACACACACAGACACCATGTATCCCTGCTAAGAAGCGGTGCCTAGGAGACAGGTGGGAAAGTGAGGGAGTGGATTATGTGTGCAGAGGGGGAGGGGCTAGTCACCAGGGGCTTGGTTTGCTGCTTGAGTTCCTCCAGATGTTCTAATATATTCTTCTTTGTGATGATTCCCAACACAATCCTGAAACACACACTCGCACTCAGTCAAGTCAACTTAAAAAACAAAACCAGAACTCATCTGTCTGTTAAAGCAGGAACAACAGAACTTCATGAAACATGTTACAATAAATAAACAACTTCACATCAAAAGACACACTTCCAAAAAAGTTGGTAGACTTTTAATAATGCCCTTGGACTTTTTTTTTTATTTGGAAAAACAACGGGCTGTCAGTGGTCTGTCAGTGGTCTGTCAGTGGTCCGATTCCCTCCAGACATTTTATCAGGAGACAGATCTGGACTGCAGGCCTGACAGTCAACTGTGACAAAATTATTATCTGAAATGTGTCTGAATCAGTCTCTTACTTTAAATACTCGAATTCAGCTTTGACCTGGAGAACTCAATGACTGAGCATTTGATTGTTTACTGTTCCAACTTTTTTGGTGTTCTGCAGACATCCAAATATGTTGATGAGTGAGTTTAAAATCAATAAAATATCAAATGTGTTTTAGGTAAAAGACAAAGATCTAGTGAAATTCCATTTATTCTAGATTTTTTTTTTATTGTTTTGTTGTTAAACGTTAGATAAAAAAGATCGCAAAACAACAAAGTTCTATAGAAGTAGAACCGATGGTTTGGATCTTTCCATGACAAGAGGTTTTTTTTTCACTAACGTGCAGAACAATCCCAGGCTTGATGACTGTAACAAATGTATATAAAGATGAATGATAATAATAATAATCAACAACAGCTGCATAAAGTCACCTCTAAACTGAGGACAACATCAGTACTGTCGTTCCTGTGTGACACCAGCAGGGGGCTCTCTGTAAAACTGACCTGATGGTAAAATAATCATCATCATCATCATCTGTAGGAACTGTGAGTGTGTTAATCAGTTATTGGTTAGGGTTAGAGGGAACACCAGAGGTTCAGTTCAGTTAGAGATGCAGATTTCAGATACCATCCAGAGGTTTTCACAGTGATTACGTCAACAAATCACAGCATCTACATGAGCTCAGCTGAGTTAGACACAAGAAGGTTGGACAGCAGGATTCATCTTCTCTTCCCTCCCCACAGTCATTTCTCTTTTCATGGATAAATAAACATGCACTTTCTCCTACTCACCCGTTGTGAGTGACCAGACACTGACGCAGACCCAGCTTCCTGAAGATGTCCACCACGATCTCCATGGGCGTGTGGTCCGTGACCGTGAAGGGGCTCATGTCCAGGATGGAGCGGAGCTTCAGGGGCCGAGGGCTGTCGGCGGGCAGGGTGGGAGCGTGCTGAGTGAAGTAGACCCT